ATGATGGAGCTTGGAATCAAGTAAGCTGCTTGAATGTGGAGCAGTATTGGTGAGGAGTTATCCTTCATGTCAGGATTAGTTCGGGCATACAGAGGATGATTGGATCTTATAAGTAACCTTCTGTTTAAAATTATTACAAGCTTGGCCAAGTTCTCCGGTGATAATGTGTTGAGGCGGAAGACCGAGTTTTAATAAAGGTTTGGAAATGGAATACTATATTAAAGCTTAATTCTCATATTGCATTATTCTGGTGGCATCTTCTGAAAAATGAGTAATCTAAACTACTAATTTCCTATGTATAGTGAGATTGTTAAATAACAACCTGTGCCCGAGAGAGTATGAGATATGGAAGATGTGTGAGACAGTTGCTATTAGATTTGCTCAAGCTAATTCTAGCAATTAAATTGGCTAATCTGTGGGCTTTTGCTTCCAGCAATGTTTTGCTAATCGAGAAGGCGAGTATTATCAGGAATAACAACTTTTGCCTCAGGACTCAGAGGCTTGGTCTTCTTGTTAACTTATTCGATAGGGATTTGAAGAAATCACCATATCTTGTTCCAAAGAACCAAAGATTAATCCCGGTGATGCAAGAGAGGCCAGAAGATCAATCTCCTTATCTTACCCGTCTCATCGATTTAGAGGCAAGAAGTAACAACGATATCGATTGAACACCGAATCCAGATGATCGCTCATTAGAGAGCAGAAGTTCAGCGCGATGATGCGGATCAGGAGGATCCGACGGAGGACGGCCAGAAGCCTCCATGATGAGGCAAGAAACTGCAAAAACCAAGAATTCAAACTTTTTCTCTCTCTAGAAACTAAGCAGGGGCTTCTCTCTCACAGTAAGCATAATATTTAAAGGTTATTGACGAAATCATATCTCGTAAAAATTTTGAATTATACGTATCTAATTATGGTATTATCTCCTACAAGAAAAGATTGTGGGATCTAGGTTCTAGATATTTAAGATCAATTATTCTACATGAGGCAAATTATTCACCCAAAAAGCGATAAAATATGCAATGATCTTAAAGGTAAGTTCTAGTGGCCTGGATTAAAGAAGGATGTGTCAAATTTCATTTTCAAATATGAAATTGTCAGTTAGTGAAAAGAAAACATTAGTGATCAAGAAATTTTTTGGAGCCATTGCCTTTTCCATAGTCGAAGTGCGATGATGTAACAATCGATTTTGCTATAGGTTTTACCAAGTCGAGATAGGGACATGATGTTATTTGAGTTGTAGTGGATCATCTGATGAAGTGTGCTCATTGCATACCATCTGATAGTTTAATTCAATGGAAAAATTGACAAATGTATACATGTGTGAGATTATCATATTACATGGGATACAAAAGGTACTTATTTCTGAAAGAGATGATAAGTTCACCTCTAAATTATGGAGGGGTATTCAGTAGAGTCTGGGCATTAAGTTACAATTTAGTCTGACTTTTCATGCATAGATTATTAGATAGTATAAGAGAATTATTCAAATATTGGAAGATCTTTTGAGATTGGTTTATATACTTTGGCGATAGTTGGAGGGATCATATTCATTTGATATAGTTGGCTTACAATAATAACTTTCTATCAAATATAAGCATGGCCCCTTACGAAATTCTATATGATAGGAGATGCATGACCCATTTGTCTTAGATAGAGGTGGTGAAAGGAATATAATTAGGTTAGCCTTGGTTAATGACCTTGTTGAAAAAGTTTGTTTAATCAGAGATAGATAAAAATCTATACAATATATGAAGAAATAGTATTATAATGCCAAGCATCGAGTAGTAGAGTTTCAATTAGGAAACTATATATGTGAAAATCAGGTCGATAAAAGGCAGTAACAGGTTTGGAAATGATAGAAAGGTGAGTCCAAGGTATGTTGGACCCTTTGAAGCTATTGACAGGATTGGAAAATATGCCTACAAGTTGAAGTTATCAGATCATATGACTAACATTCACAACATATTTCATGCCTCGCTTCTGAGGAAGTAGTTTTTTTATTCCTAAAGAAAGTTGAGATATTTTTTAATTTAAGTTATAAAGAAGAACTAGAAAGGATTCTAGATTATGATGTTAGGAAACTAAGAAACAAACAAAATTTAATGATTAAAGTTCAGTGGAAGAACATAATTGAAAAATAAGCTACTTAGGAAAAGGAAATTGAGATGAGATAAGATATTTACTGATCCCAGTTTTAAAATATCGAGGATAACATTTTTCTGAGGAGAGAGTTGTAACACCTATAAAGTTAGTGTATCAATTAACCCATTCTAACACGATCAAATTCAAGGTAATCTATTGGATTTCTACATTTGAACCATTTTGCTTATGTTTGAGAATGTTTTGAGTGCTTGTGAGAGTCTATATATATTTATTATGGGTCCTAAGGGTTTGTTCGAATTTTTTAAAAAGGCTTAAATATTCTCCTAGGACACCGCAGCGTTGGGGATTGTGGTACCCCAATGCTAAGCTATCTAGAATTAAAAAAAAAAAATTAGCGAAGTGGTGCGATGGTGGGCTATAGTGTTTTCAGCTCCTTGATAGAGCATCGTGTTGCTAGGCTAAATTTTAATAATAAAAATATCTAGATTTACTATTCACCTAATTCATTTCTCCTACGAATCTATCAGCTAGTGAGAGAGAGAGAGAGAGAGGTATTTCCAGTGAGAGAAAGTCTATTTTAGCCAATTTTGGTTTATTTTCAGCTCTCAACCTAGTTCTAAAAGTTGCTCAAATCAAGCTAGATTATATTTTGTCTATCTCAATTTTCAAAAAATATGATAAATTTGAAAAAAAAAACTCTAATTTAATTTATAGTTTTGTATTGCATAAACAGATATAACCTTGCACCCACAAAACTTTAACCGCATAACTTTTTAATGTTATAGAGAAAGTAATTTCAGACATTTTAGTTTTTTTTTATATTAGTTATTTGAAGGGTGTGCTTTTTTAATTATCTAAAAAATAATTCTGAACCAAGAAAAAAATGTTGTAGTACAATTAAAAGTACAAAAACAGTATTCTAATTTGGTTATATTCTAAAATATTAAATTTTTGTATAGTAGTCTATTTAGTTCTCAAATGTAATTCTGGAATGAGTTTATTTTTATTTTAATTACTATAATATAATGAATTATGTGCTTAATTGGTTGACATGTGTGATTCTGGTGTGATTGAAAAAGTTATATTCTAATGTCTACGGGCTTGTTTTAGTACTTACGAGCATATTATGATACTATATGCACATTTTATTCTAGTGTTGGCATTATGAGGCATAAGAGCCCGTGGAAAATTTATTATTTTTTATTTTGATATATGAAATGTTTATTTATTTATTTTCCTAGAATGTTATATAAGTTTTCTCATAATTGCAAGTACAATTCAGTTCAATATAGTGATTTAATATAAATTATTTTAAACTCAACAACACATTTGAAAATGAATTAATTAAAAATTTTGATCGATAAATTTGGCCTACTATGCTGTGTTAGCTCACAATTTATTCGCCTTCAATTTTCAAGGCCTGAGAGAGAGAGAAAGAGCTAGTTGAGTTGCACCGTTAGAATTTGATTTGAGACTGTATAGGTATTTCTTTGTATACTATTGTACAGTCATTGTTAGTATTCTTCTGCTCTATTTTGTATTCATGTCAATAGCTATGTGGTGTAGAGAAATTATTGTATATATATTTTGATAAAAATTAAAAAAAAAAAGAATTTTGTGGATAAAATTATTTTCAATATCCTCCATATTGTTAGTAATTTAGTTTTAAAGTTTAAATTGAAAAAATATATATATGAAAAATTTTTAAAACTTAGATCCTAGAGTTTGCCTATTGCAAATCAACATGATAGATTTTGTCCAGATTGTGGGACTGAGTTGGATTGTGACAAGCTCTCACCTAGTCAATCAAGAGATGACACATGTCTACGGTAGTTGTAGTGTTGAATGAGTGATATGTGCATTATTATTGATATATCATCAAAAAAATTTCAAATCGAAAGCTTCTGAATATTAATTTGATGACTAAATGATATCCAAATGTGACGTGCTTCTAATCAAATCAAGCAGCTCAATAAGATGATTCCAACAAGTCCATAATCGTCGAATTCTAACATCATTAAGACACTCAAATGCTCGATAAATGATCTATGGTTGAGGGAGTTCATATCGACTATCCATTAAAACACTCCCAACATGCCCTTGATATTCTATTTATTTACTAGTCATGTCACTTCCAAAATTTTATAAATAAGCTCCTCATTCTTCACTGAAAGAGGGAGAAGAAAGGGGGAAGAGGAGAAGAATAAAAGATATCATACATTTTCCAATCATCATCGCTGTTGACAACCTCTAGTTATTACCATCAGCAACTGCCATCATCATCGACGATCTACATTAGAAATAAATATTTTTAGAATATTATCAAAATTGCATCTAATTGTTATTCATCTTTGTATTTTCCTCTTTTTCAATAATGAAGAAAAGATGATTTTTATATGACTTGTTACATAGTAAATTCTGTAACGAGGCCAAGCCCAATGGTTTTTCCTTTTTTTCCATATTTTTCATGTACAAAATTCTCCAAGTTTTTGCTTATCATTTTTATATACTCGTGCTTAATTTTTGTACATTGTTTAAACGTAATATTCAATCTCTATTTACTCAAATTTTCTTACATGCAACAATTATATTTTTTATTTTTTCTCCATACTATCTTTCTTATGGCCCCCATAACCCAATAAATAAGGGGCGATGAACAAATTAGAGACTTTTATCTAAAATAGTGAATAGTAGAGTAGCCTTGAGACTCATAACTCCTTGAATGGTTCACATATTTTTCTTTATTCTCTACACTCCATTCTCACAAGTCCTAACTCACTAGATCGGTTCATGAGTAAAGTCGGATGCCATTACAACCAAATTTAAATCCAACATAAGATTTATTTTGTTATACCATATCAATCCGACAAGTTCAACCAAAAAATTTTTTTCGGTTATGCAACTTTCTTATAATTATGCTCTTAGAACATTTTTGGAGAATACATCCACAAAATATTTGATAATGCGCTCACAAAAAGTTAACAATAGCCTTAAAAAGGCCTTCAATAACTAAAACAAAATGTCAAGCAATACAAAGCATCATTATTGATGGCGCCAGCAAAGCTGTTAACCTTTTTATTCAGTTTCGATCCATTCATTGGCAGCTGACCGAAGAACTACAATCACACAATGTGGTTACTGTCCAGAGTATGCGTCTGCTACAGGCAAGAATGCAAAAGCACAAAAATCATAACATTTAAGAAATATTGCCATTGTCATCACTTGTGTTATAGCCTTTGAAGCAGCACAAATGCGGATGCTCTTATGCTTAACAGTTTGTGATAGAGAGCAGCTTTGCACCTGGTATTCAAAGGCTTCAGGCCAAAGGCTTTTCATGGCTCATGCGGCTTTCCTTGTTATTTGATCCATCGAGGTGCTCTCAAAGATTTTATCAGCATTCCCAACCTCAAAGCCATCTCTTCTGTGGAATTCCTTGATCTGCAGACGAGGCAATTATGATTATAAGATCCGACTCAAACGGCCAAATCAGACAAAATTAAGTTAAAATATTTAATCGAGCTATCATGGCTAGATTGGAACACATTGGTTAGAGATAGAAACCTTTTGAATGACAACTAACGGAATCGAAAGCAGCAGGTTTTAAGATAAAATGCACGCATTACGGAAAATTTGGGACTTTTTACATGTGGGGTTTACATAACCCAATATTTTTATGTATTTATATTTCTATTATATAAATCTCTTTTTTTTTTCTTCTTTTTTTTCCTAAAATCTAAATATTTATATTTACTAAAATATTAATTTAGGGTCTAAATACCATCAAAAACATATACATGAAAAGATGTATTACATTAAATAAATTAAAATTAGTGATATTTTTATGTGGTTTAGAAATTTGAGTGTTATATTAGTAAATATAAAGATTTAAATATAAAATATATGAATACAAAATAATTCTAAGAAATGTAAATAAATCCCACTTTATTTTTTATACTTGTTTTTTTTGTAAGAAAAGAAATAGAAGTATAAAAATAAGTGTTTTTTGGATATTCATTATCCTTACCCTAACAACTTGGCATTAGCATTATTAATCTTCATTTTTCATTCATTAATATTTAGTATTGTTTGAGATATTAAACCTAATCCTGCAAAATTATTTGAAGAACTTTAAGTCATATAACCTTAGATCCATCACATTTCCTTCCAAAGACTTGGATGCTAATTTTCTCATCTACTCTAACATGTGCATTTTATATCCTTCAGTGCGCATTTCCAAATCATCCAAATTTATTTTCAATCTTCTGATCACAACAAATGTCACTTATTTTCCTCCAATATAATAAACTCTTAATTTATCCTTCTAAATTTACCACACAACCATCTTAACATTCTCATTTTTTTCTACAGTTAACATAAATATTAACAACATTTTTACAACCTTATATTTGAATTTATACAATAATGCTAGGCCACTTTATAAAATTTTCTTTTAAACTTCCATGACATCATCTCATCATACAATTATTGATATCAAATTTACTACTCAACTCGAACTTAAAAAAAGTTATATCCTCATTTATATTGCTATTTTTATATATAGTTGACTCAAGATGCATATACATATCCAACCAAGATATCAACTCATCTATTACCAATATTGAATGATAATTATCAACATTATATCCACTAAAAAGTTGGAAATTCTTTTCCCAACCTTTATCAGAATGTCTTAGGGAAGATGCTTTTGAGAAAGCATAATAGAAACTGTGCTTATAAAGCAACTTCAAAAAATTTCTAACAATAAAAGCAAAAGAAGCCTTAATAAGGTTCCTTTAGGATGCCAATGTAGAGAAAAGTCAGAGTTACAAAATAATCTTCTCATTGAAACGTTAGCAATTAATAAAAAACACAGAGGCCTGATCATAATTAATCCAAACATATTATTCGGCCAAACTTAAATTTGGAATAATTCTCAATCAAGTCAATATAAGAAGCCATACTCATACAACAACAACATCAAGCCTTTATCCAACTATACAGGGTCAGCTACATGAATCATTTTCTCCATTGTGTCCTGTTAAGAGTCAATTCTCATTTAAATCAAATAAAAATAGGTCATAGGGCTGCGACTGGGAGGAGGGGTCAAGGAAGTGTTGATCAAATAAAAGAACATACCCAACTATATATGATGCCACTTAGGAACCGTACGGAGGGTAAAGCATCAATTTTCATCCTTCCACCTTGAGGACAAGGTGGGTCTTTAGGAGGGAGATATTGTTAGACTGATCCGGCCGGTCTGTGCCTACACAAAGCAGAACAAAATTCCGCCCCCTCCTATTACCGCCCAAACCGTGGGGCCTAGCATTAGCAAGACCTTCGGAGGGATTTATGAGGGAAAATTCAAAGTAGGGGTTGTTTAGAAATTTCCTTTTAGATTGTTTGCATTAATAGTATGTTTTCCTAGGGTTAGAATATTTTGAATTTGGCTGAAATTTGAGATCTATCTTAATTTGCTTGGGCTCTAGCCGTCGGCTAGGGATTGGGAAAGCCGAATCTTCCTCTCGAATTGAAGATTCATTGTACCTTGCTTGTTTTCTATCATTTACTATACAATTAAGAGTATTTCTTTGTTGTTCGTCTACTATCTTCTCAAAATTTGCTTGGTGAGTTGCCGAATTTTTGTTTTAAGTGGGAAGTTTCTATATTTTACATTATTACTTCCTACAAATTGGTATCAGAGCCCATCGATCTAGGGTACCAATGGCCGGAAGTAAAGTGTTGGACGGAGAAATAGGCCAATTGAAATCAAATTTTGTGGAACTGATTTCAAATTTTGAAATTTAATTTGCATCCGTCCATGAAATGATGGACAAAAAGTTTGCCTTCGTAGAAGAAATGCTGAAGAAGATGCTCGAAGCCAAACTCAAAACGACAAAATTAGAGACGAAGGAGGCCGCCGACAACCATGGAAGTGGACCTAACTTGGTTAGGGGAGGGGAAAACAAATAGGAGATTTTAGAGAGAGAATATGGGATGCCTTCTTTAGAGCCTATTTCTAGGAAGGAGATGAGTATTGGATATGAGCGAAGGGGTGCTAAATTTGCAAGAAGAAGGGTGGATTATGAGCGCATGGGTGCTAACTTTGAGAGAAGGATAGGGGGTTTTGAAGAAGAGTTCGAGTACGAGCGTAGAAGAGAAGAACAAGACACTTGGGGAACACCTCCCTTCTGAGAAATGGGATGCCATGGGGATTAGGGGTGTCAATATTTGACACGACCCGAAAACCCGACCCGAACCCGACCCGAAAATTTCGGGTTAGGGTCAACCCGAACCCGAAACGGGTCGGGTTCGGGTTCAGCATTTCGACCCGTTTCAAAAATCGGGTCGGGTTCGGGTTAACCCTTTGACCCGAAATTGACCCGAAAGTGACCCGATTTTGACCCGAAAACCCGATTTTGACCCGGCAACCCGAGATTGACCCGATTTTGACCCGTTTTTGACCAGAAAATAGGATTTTGACCCGTTTTTTACCCGAAAATTAGCCATTTTCTTGTTGGAAACGGGTCATTCGGGTCGGGTCGGGTTGACCCGGACCCGAAGCGGGTCGGGTTCGGGTCAGGAAAACTGACCCGTTTTTAAAAACGGGTGGGGTTCGGGTTGACCCGAATAGTGCCGGGTCAGTTTCGGGTTCGACCCGAACCCGACCCGTGACCCGAAATTGACACCCCTAATGGGGATTAAGAGGAAACAGATGCGATCTGAGGGTAAGAAAGCTGAAGATGCCTACCTTTGAAGGTGAAGAAGCTCATCGATGGATCTACAAAATAGAGAGGTATTTCGCCATCAACGAGTTGACGGAGGAGTAGAGATTGATAGAAGATGGCCTGTATTAGAAGGGGAAGGCATGGGTCTGGTACTAGTGGAGAGACATGAGGCAGACCATTCGGAGTTGGAAGGAGTTCAATGACAGCTTATTGGAATGTTTCTGAACCAGCAGGGGAGGGGACTTCTACGAGCAGTTCTTCGACCTAACGAAGGAGGGCTCTGCAAGAGAGCACTGTGATAGGTTTGAGTACCTAGCTAGCTGACTGTACCGACTTTTTGAGATTGTGTGATAGGAAATACTTGAGTTCGCAAGAATCCCCAAGGGAAATACTTGAGTTCGCAAGCAAACCTATCACTAATTGGTGAAAACAGCAAGAATAATGCAAAATCTGGGCGAAAAAACAGCCCCCAAACGATGGATTGCAATGAGAAAATCAAGCCAAACAAAGCCAAAAGAAGATACAAGTGATCCTCAATTCGAGAGGAGGATCGTTCTCTCCCAAATCTCTAGAAAAGCAATCTACAGCCCAAACACCCAAGAACTCAAGAGAACATAAATATTTAAGTATGAAAATACTCCCTCTAACCGGCCCCCTTACTAATACAATTCATTTCCTAATTTCAAACATCTCACATTTAAATTTTCCCTCTCAAACTAGCCTCCCAAAACCCCTTCTCCCCATTGCTCCAAATGGGCGGCAACATTAAATGGGGCGGACCCCACCAATCCTCCTTTTGTAAATCTGAATAGGCCTAACAATACCGCCCTCCCAAAGAATCACTTGTCCTCAAGGTGAAATCTAGGAGACTGGTATTTCACCATCTCGAATGGTTCCCACATGGCATCATAGTCAGGCAGATTATTCCACTTGATTAACACTTCTTTAGCTCCATCTCCTTTCTGGCGAACCCTCATCAATTCTAAGGATTCCAGAATCACCTCCAAGTCCTCAGTAAGTGTTGCCGGTAGCTCCGAGCTGGCTGTGTAATCTCCAATTGCTCTTCTCATCTGCGACACATGGAAAATCGGATGAATAGTCGCCATGGATGATAGTTGCAGTCGATATGCTACCGCTCCAATTTTGTCCAATATTACATAGGGCCCAATGTATCTTGGAGCAAACTTTTCATTTCTCCTGTTGACAACTATTTTTTGTCGATATGGTCGGAGCTTTAAGAACACCCTCTCCCCTGCTTCAAACTGAATGTCCTTCTTATATCCATCAGCTTGTTTCTTCATAATTTGTTGAGCTCTCAGTAGATGCTTCTTCAATTCCTCTAACACTTGATCTCTCTCCTCCAAGCACTCATCCACTGAAGAAACTGGAGTACTGCTACTCCCAAAGTGCACCAAGTGAGGAGGGTCCCTTCTGTACAGCACCTTGAATGGAGTCATCTGTGAAGCCGAGTGAAATGAGGTGTTGTACTAGTACTCCGCCCATGATAGCCACTTGGCCCACAACTTGGGTGTCTCTGACACAAAGCATCTTAAGTAGGTCTCCAAGCTTCTATTGATCACTTCCATTTGACCCTCTGTCTGTGGGTGGTAAGCGGTGCTCCTCTTCAGGACTTTCCCCTGCAACCTGAACAATTCCCTCCAAAAATGACTGAGGAACACTTTATCTCTATCTGACATGATTGCCTTTGGTACT